TTATTCTTCATATGTTATTTAAAAGCAAGCTTTTCTTTGTAAAAACTTCAATTGAATTTCAATAAAGTTAAAGGCATAGCCTCATCGTTAATATTTAAAAAAAAAAAAAAAGTTTTATAATAATAAAATATATTTTTAAAAATATATTTTATAAGCAAAGTATATCTTATATTATTAATTAATTATTATTTTATTTAAACAATATTAAATACAATTTAATTTTTCAGACAAATTTGTCTGAAATATGGTTTAAGAAATAAGAGAATTTTAATATATAGTAAATTTTTTTATTTAAATTTAAAAATTCATATATTAATAAGTTTTAAACCAAATTTAATAATTTTACTATTATTAGAATTACAAAAACTTACTTTATAATTTTATTTAAAAACTCAAAAAATATTTAATTAGTAAAAAGTTTTGTAATTAAAATTACAAAAAAAATATTTTTTAGTTAATATATAATTTTAAAATATTATACCTTATTTTTAAATAAGAAACTTATAAGTAAATTTCAAATATAACAACTAATATAGAACTTTTAAGCAAACTACTTAAATTAAACAATAACTAAAAAGTTATACAAATAACTAATTATATACTTTTTTTACAATTGTTTTCTATAATTGTAATGCAATTATTAACTAAATATACCATTAATAAAATTATGAATTACAAGTACTTATCTTAATATTTAAAAAAAAAATTTAAAATAAAAAAATAAATTTTACTTTTAAACAATATATTACAACTATTAGTATTACTTATTTGTACTTCTATATATTAAAAATTTAATTAATAAAACTTTATTTTTAATACTTTGTTAAATAATAAAAAAATACAGCAGTAAAGTAATACAGAACTATGTAATTTAACAATAAATAATGTATTTATTACCTTATTACTATTTTTTTAAATTAAAAAATTGTTATTGTGTAAAGTATACTTAGGCAAGATAAATTCAAAAATACTAAAAATATTTAAAGTTCTGTTTATAAAGTGTTTTTTATATTATTATAAATAATGATTATATTTTTTTAAAACAAATTTACTATGTTGAAACATAAAAGTATTCTAAACTATATAAATTCTTCTGTATAAAATTAACTAATTACAAGAAAGTTACTCTATAAGGATTTACTTATTTCTGCAAATTATATAAGCACAAAAAAGAAAATAATTATTATTTTGCTAAAAGTATATAAGATTTGATCAGCATTAGAGCTAGAATTAAAGGTTGGTATTAAAAAGATTATATAATAAAATTTGATCAAAAATTTTTTTTATTAAAATATAAAATATAATTTTTTAGGCAAAATTTTAAATTGCTAATAATATTTTTGAAAAATTTAGTAATCTAATATTAACAAAAATTATACCTGATCTTGTGATCTATATAGAAAATTTTTCTTTTTGGGCTTGTATCACTTATATAAATAAACATTTATAATAAAGGATTAGTCATATAATAATATCAATATTTTCTTCTAATCAGTTAATTGAATTCACTTACAGTTCAATCATATTATTTGGTTAAATTATTTAATTTAATCTATATGAAGACCTAGATTATTTTTTTAAAAAAATTCTTAAAATGTATCTAAAGTATAGGCTCATAATCTATAACCAAAAATAAATAACTTAAATTTAAAATAATTATTATATGCCAACTAACTCTAACTCTAAAAAGCTAAAATTAAAACACAGAATAGTGTCTAGAAGGCTGCTGTTTTAACTGATAATTTTTGCTACAATTGCACAAATTTTGCAATAATATATAAATAATACTTTAAATTTTAATATATAAAAATTTTATTGTAAATTCAAGTTATATTTTTAATTTATAAACACTAAACAAATTCATAGATAAACTTCTAAAAAAATTTAATATAACTTATTATAATTAAACAAACAAGATATATTATATCTTGTTATATTATATCTTCTAGATTTGGTTGCATTTTAAAATAATTAATAAAATAATATAACTAATATTGACTTTTATTTTCTTATAAAATATATTTAATAATTTAAATTATAATATAAAAAATTTAATATAATATTAGAATTTTTAAAAAACTTTTCTATAATTATTAAAGATATTATTGTAAGCAGAAAAACTATGTTCAATATTCACACTTAAAACAAGTAATCAAATATAAAATAATGCTATTTTAGATAAAATTAGTAATATGCTTTTTTTTTCTATCTAATAATTATTTAAATCAAAACTTTTATTAAAATTTTTTTAAAAACTACAATATACTTTTTATTCATTAATTTAATTATTTGCAAATAGAAAATAACTAGAAATCACTACAAATAATTATTACCTGTTTATATTATTAAAACATGTGTAATCAGAGTTAAAAACCAGAATATCAGTAAAGTAAATATATATATGTATATGCATTGTTTACTTAATTAGTAAATAAATAGTAAATATATAATATACTGTACATATATATGTAAATAAATAGACTGATTGAACATTAATTTGACCCTTTCACTTGTTCAAAAAATACACTATAGTAAAAATAGAAAAACAGTCAGTTCACTAATAAGGAAGCTAAAAGAACAAAGTAAAGCCAATAGAAAATAATAGCTTTGAGCTAATGTCATTTAATATTGCAATACAAAGGTTAGTAAAAAAGCTGTCTAGTAGTTACATCATATGCAAAATGTTTTTAACTTGTTTTTACTGTTTATTTGTCACAAAGTAATTTCTTAGTAGAACTTAATATTGATTACAGTCTAGTGCAGAGCAGGAGTTTTTAAAGATTAATAAAAAAATTCATAACTACATATTGAAATAATTTTTGATAGTTCTGCTTTTAACTGTGATCTAGTAATTTCATTATGGAACTTGATATTGATTTGGAAAAGAGTCAAAATTTGAAAAGGTTAGAAAAAACATTGCTAGCTACACATTAACACAACTTTTAGCTGATGCAGTTTTTTTTTTGACTATTATCAAGAAGTTTTGTTATCAATGATTTAAATTTAGCACAAAGTTAATTAAGTAATTCTGCAATTGATTTTAATTATAGAAGATTCAGAAATTCAAAAAGTTAGCAAGGAAATTTGGTAATTATATGCTGTTAAAGTGATTTTTGATTTTTTTTTCCTATTTATTTCTAGAATTCAGCTATAGAATTTAAAAGCAATTTTAATTTTATGTTGAGCTATTTTAGGTTAGTGCTATAATAACTATTTAGTAAGTAGTATAGTAGTATTTACTTCTTGACTTCTGATTTTTTTTTTTTTAATAATTACTAAGCAATTCAATAATAAAACCTGAAGGAGTTCTTAATTTGATACCGAATCAAAGTTTTAGGTTAGTACTGTAATATTTATTTTAGTTCATTAACATTTGTGTTTTTAGCATTATAAAGTAAATGATAATTACTTATTTGACTTCTGGTTTGTCTTTTTTCTTATAATTACTAAGTAATCTACCTGAAAGTAATTTTATTGTGACACTAAGCCCTAGTTCCAGATTATTAATTAAATGTTTTTAGTATTAATTAAATTGCTTTTGTATTCTTGTATGTTTATATTAATAATTAATTCTTGAATAGTTCAAATGACATTTCTAGTAATAATAAATTATAAGAAAACTTTTTGCAATTACATATTGGACTTATATTTAATATATAGAAAGAGGTGAATAGTTTTGTAGAATTATATGAAAAGTCTAAAGATATTTCTTTTTGAAAAAGTAGAAGTGATTCTTACTCTAATCATTTAGGCATATATTACTGCAGCTATAAGTATTCCTATTCATGTGCATATAAGGCCAAAAAAACTATCAACATTACTAAGCAGTGTAAGTGTTATTCTGCTAAGATTAATTGTTCATGACATGTGAACTTTAATAATTGCAAGGGTACTACTCAAATCACTTATACCTTATTTAATGATAAACATAACTATGAATTAAATCCTATTAATTTGCAAACTGCATCATGATTTTATAAGTTATCAAAGAAAATTCTTGAGGATATAAAGTTTTATACATGTTTCACTGAAGGATTAGATGCCAAAATGCAGTATAATCTTTTGAAGGTGAAATATCTAGACAAATATATAGATAGAAAGGATCTTTACAATGCTATCTAGTAATTTCGAATATTATCATGTGAGAAAACAAAAACTAATGCTGCAAAAACTTTTAACAATTAATAACTTTAAAAGCTGAAGATCCTGAATAGGTAGTTGTACCTAATATTGAAGGTAAGAAAATAGACTGACTGTGCTTTTTTGGATGTCTCCTTTACAAGTTTTATTGTGAGCTCAGTTTTATGATATAGTAATAAGTAACAATATATGTAAAACAAATTGATATGAAATGCAATTGTGTCTTTTTCTAGTTGTAGACAATAGTACATATTCACATATTGTAATGCAAGTGTTATTGAAAGATGAAACCCAGGCCTTATTTAAATGTCATATATTTTTTTTATTTTTTTTATTTATCATTGTTTACCATTCTTATACTAGTAATATAACAACATTTTTTAGAGTTTTGAAACAATTAAATAATGCAACAAATCAAATTTTCTCTAAGACTGTCTATACAGACACTAATCTAGTCATAGATGCAGCCTTGAAAAATATGTAGTCTACTATATATCATTCCTACTATATTTTTCATCTTAACAATAACTTTGTTAAGAAACTTAAACCAATTATGAATAAAAGCTTTGAAGAGTGTTATTAGCTTTTTTATTCTTCTCACAATAGTTTGCTTAAAATTAATTTTGAACATCATTAGTTGCAATTTGTTGAATTTATTAAACCATTCTCTAAGGCACATTGATATGCAATAGAAACACTTTATTCTACACATCATAGCTAAGCAGTCTGCTATACTCAAACTTGCTTTACTGCTAGTATTCAAAGTACTCAGAGAGTAGAGGGCATAAATGTCATTATTAAGAAGAAAGTTTCATATAGTTCAACTTTGTTACATTTAATAAATGCTATACAGAACTGTTTAAATAAAGAAGCACAATATGTGAGAATAAATGAACAAAAAAATATAAACTCTTTTATAGGTTTTTCTTATATCACAAGCCAGTATTTTTCAGGCATTAATTTCTTACTTAAAGAGTATTTAACTTCATATATTCTTTTACTTCAATGAATACAGCTTTTTAAAAACTTTTATATGATGCTACTGAAATATCTTTTGATTAGAATAACTTTCCACCTGAACTAGAGGATATTACTGAGAATGAATGTTTTAAAAATGATTATAAATAACATCAAACAAGTCTTAAGATGTTGCTTTAAACCTTACAATATGAAGATGTTGAGCAAATTTGAATCATCACGCCTCAAGGATTATTTTCTGGCTACTTTAATAATCATATTGTAATACTTACAGATGGTTCACATTTGTGTACCTTTCTTGCCTTGTTAGCAAAGGAATCATTTGCTAACATTTTATAAAAGTTTTAATAAAATTCTATCTGGCTGGATTTTATATTTTCTTAATATCAAAGTGATGGTACAAGAATAATAAGATTAATAAAAAAATAAAAATATTGTTTTGCTTTCATCAATTAGACTATGTGAACCTAACCAACTTTCAGCATCTAACAGCACTTTATATATAGTTGATTTTCAACACTTGTTATGTTTTTATATAGATAATGTACTTACTTCTGCTTTACAAAAATTTGTTAGTGAAAAAACATGTTGGTTTAAAGAATATAGACTATTAAAGAAGGTGCTAAATCTGATAATAAGACTTAACTGTGATAAAAAATGTTTTGATATACAGTAATAGAAGAATTTATTCCATCCAAGACATGTGAATTACAATTTACTAATGAAAAAAACAATGATTCTAAATCTACTTGACATATTTCTGAGTCTCAACCAGTTGTAGCAAATCTATTTGTAATTAAATGTTATAGTCAACCATCTAATCAACTTAAGAATGTATTGAAAGATATTACAGGCACACATTACAAAATGCTTGGCTCCAATAAGGCAGTTTTGGAAGAAAGTAATATTCAAGAAAGAAAAAAGAACAAATGTACTAAATGCAAGAAGTATAGGCATAACATTCAAACTTGTGATGCTGACTAAATGTTAATTATAATGTATAGGTTATCTAGTAGAATTATATTTTGCTTGTTATGCTACTAATTGGTTGTTTTTATCTATGTATTTCAAACAATATTTCATGTTGAAAATTTGATTTATTGATTTATATGCATTTTCTATATGGCACTTAGCAAGTTTTGTATCTTTGATCTCTAATAATTTACTAAGCTATATGTAAATATTATTTGAATATGTATGTGATTATTTATTGCTATGTTTATAACTAGCTGTATTGTAGTAAGTATGTAGTTTATTTCTATAATCTAAATATGTTTTGTGAACAAAATGTTTCAACTGAAGATATGTACAATTAGTCAAGTATTATTTTTTTATATCTATATATTGATGTAATTATAGTTAACTGATTACTAGTATTTACTATAATTTTTAGAGCTGCAGAAATTTTAGTAATCTAATCTAGAGTTTCAATCCATTAAGTATTTATTTATTTATCTGAAATTCAATAAATAATTAAATAAAATAGATTAAAAGATGGATAACCAAATCATTTAGTAAATTATTCAGATGCAAGAAGTGCATATTTTAACAAGTATAAAGAAGTTATCATTATTTTAATAAGGAATTGCTACAGACACAGCAGCATGTAATATAATTCTCCTAATTCTGCCATATTTTAACCCTAATCTTAACTATAATGCAGGTCATGTTGTGTTATTAAAATTAGTACTAGTCATTTGCTATATTAATAAAGCTATATCTGTAGCAATCCCCTTTTAATAATAGTCATGGAAATTATTAATCATATAAGTATATAAGAGTAAAAACCTGAAAACTGATTTAATGATTTACTATAATCAGTTTTCAGGTTTTTACTTTTATGTACTTATATGATAACAGTAGTAGATGTTATGATAATGATCATAGATATTATATGTAATAGTAGTTATGATGTTATGAATAGTCACAGATATTCATGAAAATTAAAATTAAAGTAGTATTAGAGTTAAAACTGTAGTTAGAATTAGAAATTGGATTAGTAGTTAGGTTATATTTAAAAGTTTAGATACATTGTATTTGTACTGTTTAATTATTATAATAGGCTAGATATAATTAACTTGTATAATAAAGTAATACAGTATGTAATATTGTTTGTATATATATGTATCAATATTGCAATTATATAATTCATATAACTATATATATAATCTGTTTAGTTCAGAATTCTATATTTATTTATTTATATACTATGTTATATAGCATTATAGATGATAATTACCTGTAGTATAAATTAGAAATTTTTTTGCAAATAATACAAATTTATCAATTTTATTATAATTATCTAAGTTGTATCTACTATTTTGTAATTGTATATATTTCAGGTTAAAGTATTTAATTGCTTTAAAAAGAAAAAGTGTATTATGTCTATTGATATGTTTTTTAAACTTATTTCAAGCTAACATATATGCTTTGCAAAAAATTAATTTATAACTATTTAAGTTAATTTCATTTAATATATATTTTTTAATTAGTTTTGTATTTAATAATGCTTCTGTATAGATAGCAAATGTATAGAGGAAGTAACCTGTTCTGTACGTCTAAAGGTACCAAGCCAGAGCTCTGGTCACACCTATATGGAAGTCTATGACGATAATAAGGAAGAACGTACCAACATGAATGCTATACCAATCA